TGATAGGAAATGGCTAAGACATATACTGGTACTGAGAAAAGTGTGGTCATTGATGTGACTGTATCTGATCATGTGGTTCAGAAGCCTTTGGATCTGGTTTGTGGGAGGAATTTGGAAAGGTTTGGAGATGCTAGCTAGAGAAATCCTATAAACCAAGCTTGATGGGAGATTTAGGCAAAAGCTTGGAAGACCAGAATGCTGAGAAGAATACAGATAGTAAAAGCCAGGCTCAGGAGGTTTCAATTGGGAACAAGAACTCTCTTGACACATGGACTACAGGCTATGTGTGTTACACCTACACAGAAAATTTGTCTTCATTTTGCCTGTGTTGTGAGACTTTGGGGAAGACTGAGATTAAGGGTTACAGTATACTAGGCTGGGCATGGTAGTGTATGCCTGTAATCTGAGCACTCAAGAGGCTGAGGCAGGAGGATTGCTGAGTTCAAGGCCAGCCTGGACTACATAGTGCATTCAGGCCCAGCCTGAACTACAGAGTGAGACCATGTCTCAAAAAAAAAAAAAAAAAAAAAAAAAGGTGATATACTAATTAATCTGCAGGAAGAAATTTTAAAGCAGTCCAATGTTGAAGCTATGGCATGATAAAAAGTTTGCAATTTCATCAGAAATTAGGAACCTGCAAAGTTGGGACCACGGGGAGCAAGGTTGCTGAAAAGATTAGCATTAAAAAGAAGCCAAGTAGTTTGCACCATAATCATAGAGGAAGTGCTTGAAGGCATCTCAGGAATCAGCCAGACACCATCCTTTGCAGCCTCAGAGATAAAAAACTTTATAGCTTTGCTTTAAGAAGAGAGCCCCCAGAGTTCATTCAGGAGCTACAGAGGGACACAGCAGTCATGGTCTAAGAGGGCCAGGCTACTGCTTGAGTTGGGACAGATCCTGGAGTCATCCACATGGTGCTGGTTTTACAGATCTGCATAATGCAAGAGTTATGGGGTCACGGAGGCTCTCAGATTTCAGAAGAAGGCCTGGAAGTCCTAGAAGAGTGCCCAAAGAAGGTAGTGTGCAAAGCTATGAGAGTGACGCTGAAAGTGCAGTGGAGATCCCAGGAAACTGGAAATGCCAGGGAAATGGAATATCTGTTGGGGAAAGCTTCAGGCACTGAGTAAAGCTACCCCAAGAGAGGCCATAGGAGCTGCAACAGGCAATGCCATAGAAGAGGTGGAGCTCACATCTTACCACAAGTTGCCCTGGGTGTTGGATATGAAGCTACAAGATGCAACGTTTTCCTTGATACATTTTCATCTTGTTTTGGTCCAATTCCTTTTTTTTTTTTTTGGAAGAGGAATATTTACCATGTGCCACTGTATGTTGAAAGTATTAACTCTTTTTGATTTTTTAAAGGGGTTCACAGTTAAAAGTTTGTCTCAGTTGCAGAGAAGATTTCGGACTTTTCAGCAATACTGGAATTGTTAAGAATTTCATGACTCTTACATTTGGACATGAGTCTTTTGGGTCCCACAGGAGAATGTCATGGTTCATACTAAAAAGCTCCTCTAAAAGTCTCATGTATTGAGGTGGGGCTTTTGTAAGGTGATTAGACTATGTGGGTATTGGGAAAAGTGGCTTCTAGGAAGGAAAAAGATAAGCTGTATTTAAAATTAATAGGGAATCTTACTAAAAGCAGATTTATCTCTACACTTAAACTCTATAGTGAAAGCAAGTAGAAAGATAAAGAAGGAGAGAGCCAGAGAGGTGCCAGGTAATGCAATTACGCTAAGAATTTATCAGAAACAGTTAACAAAACACAGAGGAAGCCAGAAACAAAAAAGGCCAGGGTAACCAAACCCCTTCACTCACCTCTAATAAAATGCAAATGTGGCAAGGGGCAACCACCTAAGGACTCTTTTTTTATGTGTAAGAGACACACACCTCTACACGTACACATATATGTGTATTTTCATTCTAGCATTGCTATATTATTATACCACACAAGCACACACATCCCCTTTGCTTAATCATTAAGTCTAAGCTACTTTTCTATAAGTCACACACATACACACACACACACACACACACACACGTCCATCACGAAGGGACAGGAAGGAATGGTCAAAAATATTATAGACAGAGGTACCCAGGTTAAGGTCAAAGGTGTTCAGAGGGCCAATCAGGTGGTGACAACTTCCAGGTGTCCACATAAAGAATAGAAAAAAATCACAAATCCTGAATAAAAGGAGCCAGGGACAAGAACTTGGCAATATTTGCTTTTCTGATGCTTCCTACTCTTCTAGAATAGCTATCTATCTTCTTTTTTCCCACCCTTTTCCAAATAAATCATCTTCCTTTATATAAAACTCCACCTCTTTAATTCCTTACTGGTGCTGATAGCTTATGATCTTGGTAGCTGCGTGTTCCAGACAAGGAGTGGTGCGTACATCCCCACCCAACACCACAGGCGTCAGTAGATTCATCCATAGATGAGTGCAGTAGTAGCTGAGTGCGCTGTTAGGAGTTAGGCGTTGGCTCACTGGGGGTGTGACCTGGGAGGGTGTATTCTTATCCCTAGCTTTTTTCTCTCTGCTTTTTGACTGCCATAGGTTGAACAGCTCTTCTCCATTGGGCCTTGCATCATGCCATTTCTGCCTTATAGCCAGCTGACCATGGGCAGAAACCATGAGCCAAAATAAACCTCTCCTTCTTTAAGTTGTGGGTGTTGGGTATTTTGTCTGAGCAACAGGAAAGTGGCTAAGACACCTGGTATCTTTTTTTTTGTTGTTGTTGTTTTTTTGTTTTTGTTTTTTTTTTTGGTTTTTCTCTGGTACCGGGAACCGAACTCACGACCTTGCGCTTGCCAGGCAGGCGCTTTTTGCCGCTGAGCTAAATCTCCAGCCCCAACACCTGGTATCTTAAAACAACACAATTTGGTCTCTTAAACTTCTAGGGTCAGAAGTCTGAAAGCAGTTTCAAGGGGCTATACTCCTTCTGGGAAGAAACCATTTCCTTGTCTTTTCTAGCCTCTAGAGCTGCATTCTTGCACCACAAGGCCTCTTCCTCCATTTTCAAAGCCAGCAGTATAACCTTTTGCCTCTCCTGTCGTGTTACCACCTTCTCTTCTATCACCACATTTCCTCTGCTTCCCTTATAAAGACACATGTCTGCACATAAGGCCTGACCAACTACTCTCTTCAAATTAAGATACTTAATTCAATCCTATCTGCACAATGCCTTTTGCCACATGAAGTAATATTTACATGTTCTGGGGATTAGGATGTAAGCATCTTGGGGGACATTGTTCAGTCTACTATAGGGATCTATATTTTGTCCTGGGCCTGGAGATCATCCATTCTCTCTCCCAGTCTATCCCCCTTAGAATATAATTGTATATCTTTCTTCAAATATATGATTAAACCTTCTATGCATCCGCAACACCCACGCTCTTTGCGTTCTGTAGGCTTTGATAATATTCTGAAGTGAGGCCAGCCAATGGAACTTTCTGTGATGATGGATAGCTCTACATTTGCACTGTCCAACATGGTAGCCACTACCACCTCTAACTATCATGCATTTAAATGTAACTAGTATGACTAGGAGGGGGAATTTTAAATTTTAATTAAATCTAAACAGACACTCTGGCTAGGAGGTAATGTATCAGCAACTCAGACCTAGAAAAATGACACAGAAGCCGAGACCAAGCAGGTTCTTTGCTGCTGGCTTCTCTTCACACCTGTTTTGAATCAGCTCTGTCCCTCACCTCCTGCTTTCTGTGGCTGAAGAAGCTGAAGGATCCCAGGGGGTTCTGGAGTGATGAGGTAGCTGAGGGCAGGATAAGGAAGGGAAAGATGTCTGTTGGCCCTGAGAAGTAGAAGGCCCCTGTTCTGCTTTTGCATAAAACTAAGAGCACTCAAATAATTTTCAAGGTAGTCTCCTCCTTACTCATCTTATGCAATGGACCTTCTAGGGACTACAAAACTGTGATTGGGGCAGGACCACAGAAGTGCATCACTAGGGAAGCTGCACAGGAAAGTGTACTAAACTGGGGCTTGGTTCTGCCTGGAGCTCTGCTGTGCCACACAATTGATGAATGGCATCTGGCAAGTTACTTTCAAGACTTTGGACCTCAGTTTCCACAAGATGAGAGGATTAGGCTGGATAATTAATGGTTTGTCCTGGCTATAACAGACTATGGTTCTATTTTCTAGAGTTGAAGCTTTATTGTACATATAATTCCTCTCAGAGCTGCATTCCTTCTGACCCACATAATATTACATTCTGATTAAAAATACTAAGTAGCCATGGTTTGAGGTTGGTCCTGCAACACTTCTAGGTCAAACCAAATGCTCATGTTTCTGTCCATATGGTGACATTCACATTTGCTTTGAGCTTCAGGATGCTGGCCCATAAACTAATCTGATCTTCACAATGACCCTGAGAGGATAGATGCTGAGGCTCAGAGAGAGAGAAGGTAAGAAACTTCTAGGGACTCTGCTCCCGGGTGCTGTACACATAACATCATAGCAGCCTTTCCAAGTGGGTAGGTAATATTATCCGTTTCACAGATATGAAAACTGAAGTTGCATAAGACAAGATGATTTTCCTAATATTACTCTGATTAAAAAGATATAAAGTCACTTTCTGACACTTAACCACTTCCTCTTCCTCTTATAATGTGCTGTTGCCCCCACTGACAATTTTCCCATAAGATGTTAGATGGATGAACCTTAGGACCTCAGATGTCTTTTCATGGATAGGGTCATCCTTTCACAGTGCTTTCCAAGTAGAACTCAGCAAATCACTTCATCTCTCTGCCTCTATTTCTTTACCTGTACATCAAGGGCAACAGCCCCTACCTCACAAGGGTACTAAAATTCTTGTTGAAAGTATCAAGTGAGATCATGTATTCAGAACATTTTTCGTAGAGCGTAAGTTAAGGACTTAGTAATTACTCATTCTCACTGTCTTTGGAAACTGCAATTTGTCCCTACTAATAGAACCACCCAATTTCCTTCCACCCAAATCAAATTCAAATCACAGACAATCTGTTTACATTTTAAAAAAAGTTTTATTATGAAAGTGCAGGAAATTAAGTACATCATCCATGTGTCTACAATAGCAGAGAAACAGTGAGGATGGACCGTCCCCATGGGAGACACGTGTCCTTTCATCAAACATAAATAATAAAATAATGAATCTAATAAAACAGCACATATTAAAGATTAAACCATGAGAAGGGGCAGGAACTACGGAGAGGCATTGTGAACATGGAGAATAAGGTGCATCTTGTTGAGAAGTATCAGGGCTCAGGTGACCTTCCCTGAAGACATTATTCTTCGTTCAGTTCTAGGTATTCCACGTGCTCCTGAACCCAGGCCTCACTGGGGTTAGCACAGACTTGCCTGCCCTTTTTTGTTTGGAATCTGTAGCACAAGAAAGAAACAAATTAGGATCTCATGGCACCTTTGAAATCATCTGTTATTATTCCTTGCCTATTGTAGACATCTCCCTTTGCTTGACCATAGCTCATGTTGGACATCCCTGGTGAATGGCACCCTTTCTGGGTAGCACTGAAACCAGGCTCCCTTAACTTCCACCCCTGGATTTAGCTATGGCCTTAGAGTTTTCCCAGATTAGAAACCAAGGAGTTTTGCTATCAATATGAATTTACCTTCCCATTCTCTACCACTGCTAGCAGTGATTATATTTCATGTGTTCTAGCATGGCTTGAGAAATCTGCCCATGTTTCATGTAGTCTTTTTTACTCCTCCTGCTTTCCTGCCCTCTGGCTAGCATCCTCTCCAGGAGCCCCCTTTTTCTACTTTCCCAACAACTCATCGTCTTTCAGGACTCAAGTAGTGACCTTATAACCTGTTTCTTTACTGCTCTTGTCAGGGATTCAACCCTGAGAACCATTGCTCCTTTTCTTGATCACCCTCTGTGCCCAACTGGTCTCTTGCCTACCAGAGTGGCCCAGGGGTTGATACTCACACCACAGCTTGCTGGGGGCAGAGGCTGCTCGTCTCATAGTAATCAACCACAAAGTTGCGAGGAAGCTTCCGCTGGGTGAAAGAGAAGCAGCAGGCTGTCGGAGGGTCTGAGCTCACTGGAAGGAAAAGTCAGGGTGAAATCAAAGCTCTGCATGGGACCTGTTAATATTGGCTTCTAGATATGGATCTTCATTGAACATCTCTGTGGCACTACAATAATCCCTGATATGCTTCCTTGTAATCCATGCCCACTTACCTAAACAGAGGATCCTCAGAAAAGAAAACAAAGAATTCTACAAGATTGGAACTGGATTGAGTCTCAGAACATGTCTCATTGCCTTTGTGTTATAGATGGGAAACTAAGGTTTAACAGCAATGTAAGGTTTAACCAAACTTAAACCAGTAATCAGAAATAGAGTCAATTCAATAGTTTGACTTCTAACCCATCCTTTTCCTATACTGGCTGTTCACCCTAAGAAAATGAAAGTTTGAATATTATTGAATGTCTACTAGATTCTGCATTTAACAGTAAACTACTTGGAAATATCCCCAGCTTCTATTTCTTTCCTCCCCAGATTCTGCTGTTGGACCAGCCCCAGATTACAGAGAAATGGCCTCTGACTACCTCTTAGCTCTAGAAATGACAGGGAAAGGTTGGACTTACTTGGTGCAGAGAGCACTGGAGAGCAGAAGTCAGCCCCAATCACGAGGAGAGAGAGGACAGTCACACAGAATTTCATGGTTAAGGTAGAGCCGAGACAGCAGAGTTCAGAAGCTTGGTGGAGCTGAGACTGAAGAGCTCAGAAACTTCAGAACCTGTGTCTGGTGCTGATCTGAGTTTGGAGCCCCTCTTTATAGGGACTCTGAAGCCTGGGACAGAAGTGGGGGCATAGGAAGATAAGTGGAATTTCCAGGGTAGCGGTGATGTCACAGTACTAATAAGGAAACTTAAGCTGGCTGAAACTGAAGGGCTCCTTAGAGCTTCTCTTTCTCAGGACGATGTCATCATGGAAGAAAGAGGAGGGAGTTGGAGGGGAGAAGTGGGCTGTGCCTTAGAGGGAAGTGGTATACCAGTGACAGTGACTAGGGTAAGAGCTGCAGGTCTGAGAAGAAATATGAGAAGTTCACACCTGCTAGAAAGGGCTGGTGGAAAAGGACAAAACTGCTCTTGATGGTTGGCACTATCAGAACCTGGAGGCTTGATGTCAGTTTTTCCAGGTTAGCTGTAGTCTCCAGCACAATCATAGAGTGTGACCATAGAGAGGAACCATTGACCACAAGAGCCCTTCCACACACAAAGACCTATCTTATCGGGACTTCATTCAGGAGAGAGGTTGGGTTAGCCTCTCCGAGAACAGGGTGGGAATGGACAAAAAATAAAGATTTCAGAGTATTTTCTTAAGGCCATAAGAAAATAGGAGAATGAAATCAGCAACAATTAAGTGAGGAAAACTCAGACAAAGAATATTTTTCTAGTATACAAATAGGATTGACTAACTAGAGATGAATCCATCTATGTTACAGACAGAATATGGGTGTTTCCCAACCACTCCATAGGGAATGCCTCATGTCCTTGTCAATCCCTGGCTGGCTTCACAGCAGCTGGGGGCCTATCTAGGAAATAAAGCTTACCAAGGCCAGAGCTACAGCAGTCTATAAAATAGGGCAAATGATGGAAATTCAGATGATTGGACCAAAATCTCCCCCACCTTTAGTTCAACAGCTCTGACCCTCCTGCTCACCCTAAACCCCATATTTGAACCTGATCTGCTCTGAGAAAGAAAATAGAAGTGTGAAAAGAGGGATCCAGTCCTCCTGGATGCTTTCAATTTATGGTTACAGAGCAGGATTGTGGGGCATTTCCGGGTCAGTTGATAAAGTATGAGGTCTTCCTACTTCTTCACACACACAGACTGCGTTTGCCTCTTTCCTCTGTTCTTTCTGTCCTCACCCTTTTCTTTGTACAGGATTTGCTTCAAATATTCCGGTCTTCCCCAAGACCCCTACAACCAGCTTTAAATGTCTGTCACCCCTGATAGCACATATGCTGGTCTCTCATGAAGTTTCATCTGCATGCCTCAAGGCCATGGCTTTAAGCAGAGGAGGACGTGTCTTCTGTTCCCAGGTCCACACAGACCTTGTTACCCATGGCATCTCAACTCAATCCAGGTTTCTAGCCCTCTGTTGTTTGTCAAGGCACACACAGTTGAATGAAACCCTCCCTCTAGGAGACCTTAGTCTAGCGATGTGTTGAGGGCGACAGAAATAACTGTTCATGAGATGGAATAAGCTAAGTGGCATGCCAACTAGAAACAGTGTCAGGGAATTAGAGGATAAAAAAGGGTGTCCCCTAGCTGAAGATCAGTAGTTCTGAGTTAAATCTAAAACCACTGCATGCTAACTAAGGAAGAGGCTCCATCTCTCAATGAGCCACAAGTGTGGATTTTCAATCTCCTGAGGGATGGTGAAGACATGTGCCCTGGGACATCAGGGGAAGGACAGATAGGAGTAGGTGGTTCCTCTGTAAAGTGAGAGTCTCATTCTGAAGAGAGACTCCCCAGAGAAGAACGAGGACAAAATCTAAATGAGAACTGGATTATGTCTCAGGACACATCTACTGCCTTCATGTTCTGTGTGGGGAAACTAAAGCATGGGCAGGCATCAGGACTCGCTTAAATGAGTAATTATAGGCAGAGCCAATCAAAGGTCTGACTTCCTTTTCATTTAATTTTATTTTTTGGTGGTGATACTGAGGATGAACCCAGGGCCTTCTCTCTGGGCTACATCCTTGTCCCTTCTAAAAAAAATTCTTTTTAAATTTTAAGACAGGGTTTCAGTAAGTCACTAAATTTGTCAGGCTGGGCTCAATCTGATTCTCCAGCCTCAGTCTTTCAGGATGCTGGGATTACCTGTGTGTACTGCCATGCCAGGCTTAGTTATTAATTCTTAAGCAAACAGGAACTTGAGTATTACGGTCTACTAGTCGTATCTCTGATGGTAATGGCCTCTCAGAAGAGATCACAGAACTGCTGAGAAAACAGAGGCATCAACATAGACATCTGGGCCTCTTCTAGGGCAGTACTGAGCTTGAGGAGACCCGTGGGTGTCAGAGCCAAGAGCATCAGCCTGAAAGAGCTGGTATGTCTACAGCTAGAGAATTGCTTGAGGGCAGATGATGAGCTTGGAAAGCCAAAGTGAGCTGGAACACGGAGTCATTATGCCAAGATCATAATCCAAGAAGAGGGGGCTGGGGATTTAGCTCAGCGGTACAGCGCCTGCCTGGCAAGCGCAAGGTCGTGAGTTCGATTCCTAGTACTGGGAAAAAAAAAACCCAAAAAACCCCACAAAAAACCACAAACCAATAATCCAAGAAGAGGCAATACCTGTGGTTTTCCAGTATGGCATCCAAGTCACTTTGGAAAAATGGGAGCAGAAATTGAATTATGAATTGAAAAGATGAGTACACAATTATTCAAAGTGAACAGAGACCACAGGACCATGAGCTGGCTGAAGATCATCAGGGACTGCCACACTGTGACCACCCAGCCAGCCAGCTTCCTTCTTTTAAAAGTGAATATGGACTTTTGTCACAAGCCTTTGCTTTGGCTATCAAGAATGGAAGGCAGTGATTTCAGGAAATACTAAATATTTCTGAGAGAAGCACAAGCCTCACTGGTATTTGGTGGGTTTAAGAAAATTTTCAGTATTCCTTATCAAATATCTTCCTTTGAATAGTGTTTTTATCTTGTTTCTTGTCCCTTTCTATACAAGTTACAGGCAGTGCTCAAGTAAGAGGAGAAAAATAATTGTGCAAAACTTTATTGTCTACCTACTGTGTGATAGGCACCTTGTCCAATGTTGGGGGATTCGTGCTTTTAGACAGTGGTAGTGAAGAGTCAAGAAAGACTTCCAAAAAATGTAAGGCCTGAATGTTTTAGAAATTATATTAGTTTGTTTTTCTCATAGAAAGTATACATAGTGTATATCAAGAAAATCTAGGAAATAAAAAATAAAATAAAAATGACTATCATTCTGTATCTTGTTTTATATTTTACTATTAGGACTTAATATTCTTTCTTGAATTAGTATGTCATAGTTTGTTATTTATTATTGTTCCATGCTACTAAAAACTAAAACATTTCTTAAAAGGGGCATTAATGAATGCATGATATTTCTTTGCATGTATGTATCAAATTTGTATCTAGCCATTCTGTTATTTGGATAGATGACTGGCTAGGCAGAGAATGTGGGGGTGAGTTATTCAGTCAAAAACCAAGAATCTTATACATTTGAAAATTATAAACTATATGTATTGTGTTCTACCACGTGTTGGGTGACTACAGATAATTATAATGTATTGTGTTTTTCAAAAAAGCTAGAACAAAGGATTTTGAATGTCTTCACCACAAAGAAATGGTAAATGAGGAGCTGGATATACTTACCCTAATTTGAACACTACACAATGTATATATGTATCAAAATAGCACATGGTAGCTGGGCGTGGTGGGACACATCTGTAATTATAGCACTTGAGAGGCTGAGGCTGGAGGATCATTGCAGTTCAACCCCAGGATAGGATACATAATGAGTTCAAGGCGAGTTTTAACTACATAGTGAGACCATATCTCAAACAAAACAAAACAAAACATCATGTTGTAACTATAAATATGTATAATTTTATGTCAATTAAAAATTTTTAATCAAAAATTTTTAAAAATTTAAGTGATAAGGATAATAGTAGCTAATGCTTAATACTGCACTTATTATGAGCCAATAATGTTTCAGGGCTTTCATAGATACTACTGCATTTAATCCTCATAGGGGTACACTGAAGTAGGTATTATTACTACCTCCTTTTGTACATGAGGACACTAAAACACAGAGAGGTAAGGGACTTGTGGAAGAACACACTGGGGATAGACAATAGATTCAGAAAAAGACCAATCAAGTCTTGCTATAGAGGGTAAGGAAACTAGAAAGGGAAATGTACTTTATTATAAATTTATGTTAAAAGCTCAACAGCCAAAGTCTTATTATTATGACCTAAAATGTCTTTCAGTTTTGCATTTCACATGATTTTGAACCACAGAATCCCTGGGCTTCCCTTTTTTTCTTGGAATATTTGGGGAATGAAATTGTGGTTTTCATTATTTGTTAAAGATATGAATTCCTGAGGCTGCCGTGGCACGTGCTCATGCCTAGCATGTTTCGGCTGTGCCCTGTGGTTTGCAAAAAGGGAAGAACGCTTTGCCAAGTTGATACCTCAGTGTTAAAAACAGGAAAGAAACTTATGCATTTATGGAACTGCAGGCAGTTCAGAAGGGCTGTGTCTTGGTTTTCAGGAAGTCTAAAGGAGGCAAGTTGCAAAGCCACAGGTTGGTAAGGGAGGGAGAGTCAGGTCACAGCAAGGGTCACATCAGAGGGAAGCTGCTATTTCCTGCTGGAAACCATGCGGAGGATTTGAAGAACATCATCAGAGGTAGGCCGGAACTGACTCATCCTCTAGCAAAATCACATTAGGTGCTGTGGAGGGGTGGGTTAAAGCAAAGGGTAAAACTAGAAGAAAAACCAGTTGTCACATACCCTGATAGTGGCTGTGGTGAAAAAAAACCTAAAGACTGATCTCAGACAGCAGCAGTGAATGAGACGTAGATGTTCACAATTTCCGATATAGACTAGAGCTGCTGATTGAATAGATGTAGGAGATGGGAGAGGATGGAGAGGAATCAAAGGTGACTTCCGGGCTTCTAGTTTGGATGTCTAATAGAAAGGGATGCTTTTTATTGGGTAGAGAATACAGCAGGAGTCAGGTGGAAGTATTAACTCGGTACCAAGACATGTACCTTAATCTACTGCAGGCAGACAAAATAGCCAGAGAAAAT